AGGATAGCTACGGATAGCGGACATTCGACTGCCCATTCGCCCGATAACGGGCCCAAAAGTGTATCTCCGATACCATGCAACACTTTGCAAAACACGGACTCTGTGTCCCCTAGTAGCACGCCAGGTATAATTTTCTCATTATTTGCGCGTTATTTTCATCGAACATTTAATTGAAGGTCCTACTGTAGGAAGCGGAGGAGTACCGTTTACGCAATTAGAGTTGCTAGAGGCTACGCATCGAGGATTGCACAAATTCGTACCAAGACATCACGACGAGATCGATCTCGAGATCGGTGATCCGATATACGTTCAAAAGGAAGCGGACGATTTGTGGTGCGAAGGTGAACTTCTTTTCTCTTATATTTTTCTTTTCCCTTTTAATCTCAACCATGTCCAAACTTTTATTCCTGCATCTTCGAAGGCGTCAACTTGAGAACGGGCAGACAAGGCATTTTTCCTTCGGCTTACGCAGTAGATATGGACTACAGTGACTTTGATCCTTCGGCACCAAAGGTGAAGAGAGAAAGATATCTTTTAGGTTACTTGGGCTCGGTGGAAACCTTGGCGCATAAGGGTACTGGCGTTGTTTGTCAGGCTGTTCGCCGGATCGTTGGTAATTCATCAGAGGAATCCCCGATATCGCAAAGTTGCATACTCGAAGTGTCCGATCAAGGGCTTCGAATGGTGGACAGGAGTAAGCCGCGGGTAAATGACGTAAATAAATTACGTGGATAAAGTAATATATAAGGATTAACTTGAAAAAAAAAAAAAAAAAAATAATAATAAAATAACTGTTTTTAATCTTACAGAAAAATCAGGGTCCTTGTCACGATTACTTTTATTCCCTGAAGAACGTTTCTTTCTGCGCCTTTCATCCGCGCGATCATCGTTATCTCGGTTTTATCACGAAGCATCCGACGTTACAAAGGTTTGCTTGTCACGTGTTCATTGGTCAAGAATCTACAAGACCCGTCGCCGAAGCCGTCGGGTGAGTTAACAAACATTCCTTCCTCCCACTCACGTTCCTTTCCTCTACTTCCTTTTTCCTTTTTTCTTTCTTCTTTTTTTTACACAAAATATATTACACACCAAAGAATCATTGCTCGACACACCGATCATCCTTTTATATTTACAGGCGAGCCTTTCATCGATTCTATACGAAATTCATCGAGACTGCTTTTCCGATAGAGGACATTTACATTGAGTAATCAATTATTTTTCTTTGGTCTGGCCTCGTGGCACCTATGGAAGCGAAGAAAGAATAAAAGATCTTGACGCTGCTCCTCTTTCCCTTGTAAATAAGTTTCCCATTTAGCTCTAAATAAATAAATAAATATATATATATATATATATATATACATACATACATGCATACATAAATACATAAATACATATATATATATATATATGTGCATACAAAGATGAAGAGAAAAGAAAAAACATAATAATAGGCGCCAATCAAACATCCAATCGTATACAAATATATATACATAAGTACATATATACGTGTATGTATGTGTGCATATATATATATATATATGCACACACACACACACACGCGCGCAAACACACACACACACACACACACATTATGCATAATCCGTATGTATCGAGTTAACTACGGTAAGCATTGCGACGGGACCGACGCCTATTTGTTGACAAAATTTCGTTGAAATTATATTTAATTTTGTTGTTAATTATGCAATCATATTATTTGATTCATTGTTGGCAAGGCCGTTAGTTCCAAAATAGCATTAATTAATGCCGCTCGAAGGACGGATATTCTTTAGTGATTTCAATGTAAAAATGATATTGTCATTGATCATTCAATGACCGAACACCGAACGAATCCTTAATCTCACGTCGATTTTTCCTTCTCCTTTTTTTCATTGCAAGAAAGATATGCAAAGATATCAATTTTAGTAATATTTCTATTTCCTAGTAATATTCTTGCTTTATTCTTTCTTCCTTTGTTTTTTTTCAAAGACGAATGATATCTTCTCTCGTTTCTCGATGAGAAGTCATCACGAGGATTTAAGGATTCGGAAGAAAATCGTGCTTATCCCGATAAAAATTATGTAAAATTTACGAATTAGCAACGAAAACCACGTAGAACGATAGAATACGTAAAAAGCCACGTCTTTTTAGAAGTTAGTAGTATATTTTTCTATCTTTCTTTGCGGCATGCTCTCTGACCTCCTTCCTCTCTGAATGACTGTAAAAAAAAATCATAAAAGAAAAGAAAAATTTCTTTGTAATTCCCGCGGAACGGACATTCTTTCTCTACTTTATTGTATTCCTCCTAACATTCCTATCTAATTATATTTTGAGATGCGGAAAAAGGTGAGCGTTTGATCGAGAAGAAAATGAAAATGAGAAAAATATGAAAAAATAATATATATATATATACATATATATATATATATATGTATATATTGTATATATAAAGAACGCACATTGGCCTCTATTGTATTTACGAATATCGTTATTATTGTAACGCGCCGGTATTTCACGATAATAAAATCGACAAGTTTTTGTTTCAACGCTTTCCAAGTGCATTTTCTACGAGATTGTTTACCCGAAAGTTCGTAAACGATCTTTCTACATATCATAAGCCCCTATACGATGATTTTCATTTATACGTCTGTTCAACGAAATAGTCTATGTTTTTGCGAAACTCTTAAGTTTCTTCACGTCTTAAGATTCACGTAAAATCATATTCTCTATCTCTTAAGGATCAAGGATACGGATATGCAAACGTTGGAGAGAGTTGGAAAACGATTCTTAATGATCGTTCATATCTGCTTTTACTTTGATTTGTGCTTATGTTTTTTTCATTCCATCATATAATTTCTACATATATTTCTCTCAGGTAGCATTATTTACAAAAAACATGTTTTCATCCTCTACAAAGTCTTAATAATTCAGTCTTGATACAATAACTATACGTTAACATGATCCCCAATATAATATTTTTATAGTATTTTTTTCATGTTGTTTACATTAAAGTTTTCCCCTATTTTTTTATTTGTTATTAATACATATACTCGCTTATACTTTTTTCCAGTATTTCTTTTTTTTTTTTGTAACTATGTCTTTTGAGTTATTATCATTTTAAATAATTTCTAGTTGTGCTATCGAAGGGCTGAGTCGTAACAAATATATAATCAACAAATTTTTTTTTGCGATAGGACATTTAGGCAGATTTTTCTTATCTAAAAGATTGTTTTAGATATGAAACAAAAAAAAAACATTAAATAATGAGTCTTTCGGAAATCCTGCAATTTCTTTTCGCAAACATACAATTCATACGTAGAGGTCTACAAATGAAATTTGTCCAATAATAATAAATAATTACGATCAGCCCCTACGATGCATTCGAAAACGAATTTTTGCAAAGTTTCTCTTTTCTTTTTATTCTTAACATTATTCCTTTTCTTTTGTTTTTGTTTTATAAAAAGGATAAAAAGAAGAATGTTTTAAGGAGAAAGAAAAGGATCTTTCTACCACAACACTTATAAGAACTTTGCAATTATATCTTTGTCCGTTACAGACGTAAAAATAAATAAAATAAAAATAAAAAAGAGGAAGAACCGAAGAAGAAAAAAAAAAAAAAAAAAAAAGAAGAACAACGTTATACGAGAAAGTTCGATACTAAATTCGTCTAATTTTCATTTAAAAATAAAAGAAAAGAAAAGCCACGTTACGCGTACAATTAGCGGGATATAAAATATAATATAGTTATGTACAATATTATAAAGTTAAATGCATACACAAATTGATTATATAAATTAAGAGCTAATTGAATATCTCGCTTGTTAAGAGCAATAGAAGGAAAAATATATTAAGAAAAGTTTCATGATTTCATGTATCAAAATTATTAAAAAATACGAAATTCCTGTATTAGTCATATAAATATATACACGCAAGATTTATTCAATTATTAACTTTACGCCTATACTTGTTTAATAATATTTTGTTAATGATAATTGATTGAAATATCTAATTAATGAAAAAAATATACGGTTTCGTATAAGAAAAACTAAAAATTATTAAATTTCCAGTTTAATCAAAAGTCGCACATTTTATACTACACTCTTGAAGCATTTTCGTGAAATCACGAAACTTTCCTCGATATATTTTTTTCTCTATTACTCCTATCAAAAGAGAACTTCAACTGGCTATTAATTTATAATTAATCTGTATGTCTGTGTGTGTGTGCATGTGTGTATGTGTGTGTGTATATATATATATATATATATATATATATATATATATATATATATATATATATACTCTTACATATTATCAATATATCCTGTCGCCTGCCTTGTATTACACCGGTAATTTAATTATTTTAACGCTTATCACCGTTTGTTCGAATATTACTATTTTTTTTGTTTTTCTATCTTCGCAATTCCTCCATCTTCGCAAGATTTCGTTGCACGTACTCGCAAATTTAACTTTTTTTTCTTCCCTTTTATTCTCGCAATTATAAAATTTATGGAAATACGTGAGAAAACACGTAAATGGTTTCCTTTCTCCTAAAAATTCTCTATTTCATTTATCTTTCTCTCTATTATTTTTCTCTTTTCTTCATTTTTCATTTGCAACGACAAATTTTAAAACACTAGTAAATGACGACCATATAAAATCTGAATGATTCCGATTATTTCTTGACAAAGTATTTATAAAACAAAAGAAAACAGAAACGTTAAAAGAATAGGCCGACTTGTCGCACAAATAAAAGAGAAAGGAACAAATAAAAGAAAAAATAAATAAATAAAAAACAATAAAAAGAAAATTACATAAATTATTGTCTTACCGTTTCGCGCGGAGCTTCTTTACAAGTTAATATTCTTTTTCTTTTCCTTAAGTTTCTTTCAAAAAATGTATTTATTTGTCGCGATTGCTTTTTCTTTTCCTTTTTTTCTTTCCTCTAAAATCCCATTCGCAGTTTGATCTACATAGCTGGATCGCTCCTGAGCGTTTAATACTTATTTTTCTTTCTTTCCTTTTTCTTCTTCTTCTTTTCAACGAAGAACAATAATAGTAATAATTCAACAGTAAAGGCGACAGCAAATCAAGCCTATTTATAGCTTTCTTCAAAGTCACAAAAATACATCAAAAATTTGTCTAATTGTCATATGACCATTACATTTACAACAATACGTAAACATAGAGTAAAAAGTAGAGTGGGCTCGAAGAAGATGAGAGGGGCAAGGTATATAGGAATATGACGTTACAGAGAGCTGCGGGATTATATCGAACATAGATAGTTTGGACGTTCGGACGTTTTGTACTATAACATCAGAGAGAATAATTTTTCTTTCTTTCTTTCTTTCTTTCTTTCTTTCTTTCTTTCTTTCTTTCTTTCATTTCGGTTGGCTGGCTAGGAAAGAGGGCGTTCGGAAAAGTATTTTCTTTCTTTTTTTTTTATCTTTTCTCTCGTTTGAAAACATACCGATGGGAGGGAGGGTAGAGTAACCCATTTTTCCAAAAAAAGAAAATAAAATCTTTCGTTCCGCTCTAATTATTATAACATTGCACATTACGCTCTCCATTCATTTTTTTTCTGCTCTTTACTGTATTTCGCTTTTAATTGTTTTAAGATAAAAAAAAAGACGAAAAGAAAATAAAACTCGAACAACGGACAATCGGAATATGTAATAATTTGTAAAAAGGTGTACTAAGTTTTGTTGTGGATACTAGCTACTAGTTTAAAGGCAAAAGAAAAAAAAGAAAAATAGGAAAAAAGAAAAAAAGAAGGATACCAGTCGCCGACGTAATTCGCAATCCATTATCGGTAAATCACTCGGAGAAGTAATTTACAGATATTTCTATTGTACTCTGAAACTTGTAACTTGTATTATGTTTATTTAAAAAGAAAAAAGAACGAGGTAAACGATCTCCCGTTTGATTCGAAGATAAGTTGGACTTGAAAAATCTTACTAAAACTTTTTTTTCTTTTTTTATTTCCCTTTAATTTAAACCATTGAGTGGCAAGAGTCATCGAAAATAAATATCTTTGAAAAGTATGATCGTGCTCGTTACAATACATCTTTCAATGAAACAATAATTATTAGCAAAATTAATTCACTAGACGAGCTTTTGCTTGATTTTAACGGGGAGAAAAAAAGAAGAGAAAAATGAGGATTGGAAGGGGAAATTTCAGTTAAAATTATAACGGCCCAATCTTCTGCCGCTCAAACGGTTGAGATAACTATTAAGTCTAGCAGGTAAAACTTTTTATAAATAGTTGTTTATAAAATTCATGTGGATTGTAGCGCAAAAATTGAATTTTATGTACAATAATCATGTATAAATCGAACAGCGATCTGTTCTCCTCGCTTTCATTTTTCTTTTTCTATTTTATGTACATATACATACATACATACATACATACATACATACATACATACAAACATACATACATGCATGCATACATACACACACACACAAAATGTATGATCACATAAAAAGCAGTACTAATATAGTACAATATTGATCATAATGATAATATTAAAATACTAATAAAATCTAAAATAGTACACCTTTTTAAAGAGATTGAACACTTAACACACAGTCTGACATGAAATACAGATAAAAAGTTCTTTTTTTTTCTTTTTTTTGTTCTTTTTTTGTTCTTTTTTTTTTGCTTTTTTTGTTTGTTTCTTTTTTTTTGTTTTTTTTTTTTTGTTTTTTTTTGTTTTTTTTTCTTAATTGGTTTTGAACGAGATATTGATAATTTCGTCTTTATGTATATCTTAACGTCTGATTTGTGAGGGGAGTTATTATTTCTGTTCGAGACAGAAAACAAAGATTAACCGTCTCTTTTTATCTTCTTCTCTCCCTTTCTCTACCTCGTTCGATCTAATGTTGTTTCGAAACAGCTACCATACTATCTACAATGTTTTTATCGTAAAATTTGAAAATAGTTAACATTACATAACACTCGATCGTTCGTTTCACTTATTTTTTGTCCTCGTGTCGAACGAACGATTGTTTATTTTTATTATAACTAATAACTATTTTTCACAGTCGTAAGCACTCACGGAATCGATTGAAAAAAGGTCTTCAATTCGAATCTCTAGCACCAACGTAGTACATTAAATTAGCTTTTGACGTGAACTTTTTCTTCTTATTCCTCTACCTCTTCCTTTTTCTACGTATAGTACTTGATCCTCTCGCGAAAATCGGTTAGACGCAACCCTGACGCTTCCTCAAAAGTTAGCAATCCTCTTTATCGGTTTACACGTTGTCTCTTCAAAATTTAAAAAGTATAATATTCATGGAGGTGCAATTCAATGCATATTGCACATACGTCGATCATCGTTGCTTTTTCTTTTCTTTCTTTCTTGGTTTTCCTTTTTTTTATTTTTTTTTTTTTTTTTAATATTCTTTCCTCCCCTTTAAAACGACATAATAACGTTCATGAAAGCTTATCGTTAATAATCGATAATTTGGTGGAGGTGGACAAAATTATTTTCCCTCGGGTGAATTTATGGGACGAAAATGTCGCCCTTTAACATACAAAGTTATGTAGGCATATATTATGCATGCGTTGCACATTTTAAACGCCAATATTGTGTTTCGCATTGACTTGTATGTTGCGATGATCTTGTTGTAAAGACTTTAGGATTTGTTTTTGCATTTTATGTTCAGCCTGCAATCGATGTAAGACATTACCTACGTGGAAATAATTCAACATATATACATATACAGATGATTCGTTAGAAACCAGATCGTTTAAGGTTACCTGTAATTGGGTTAAATTTTTTCTTTGAGCTTGCAAAGCTGGATTATCCAAATCGCGCGCCAATACATCGAATTGGGACTCTCGTATGACCATACTACTCGCAAGTTGCAGATGTGTCCTTCTTATCTCATCGTTAACCGCTTGCTGCTACAAATAAAGGATTCAACGAACGTTCTATATATTGATATTACGAACTATATATACGAAGAAACAAATCTTTACTCACGTTATTGATTGTCAGCTGTTGCACGTTCATATCATCGAAGCTTTCTACAACAGAGTTGAGAGAAAAAAAAAAGGTCTCGTTAACATATCTATTTGGGAATCGTGAATTCGGGAAAGAAGAAACAAGCATTGCATATGACATACTTTCGAAACCCATTGCAGGCCGTAGATCATCGAATATCTTCAGCATGAAATCTGTAAAAAGTAAACAGAAAAAACTCTCTTTTAATGATTTATCGTTAAACTTACGAAACGAACGACCGTAAAAATTCGACAATTTTGCAGTTAAGAGGACACTGTATTGCTCACAGATCAAATTCAAATTGGTGAGAATATAATTGAAAATATATGGATGGGAGGGAGAGAAAAGAAATAGGAATAAAGAAGATATTAAAAATGATTAAGGAAAATTTACAATAGTTCTTCTCTCGTCCATACGAATCATCATACAGAAAAGGGGCACTTTACTTTGTTGGTGGACGAGGACACAGTTACAACTGCGGTACCTGGATTTGCGTCCAGGCTCGAGCTTAATAATGGTTCTTCCTTGAGTTCTTGAAAATCGCCAAATTGTTCGTCATCGACCATATTCGAGATCACCAACGGTGTAGATGAATCTAATTCTTGATACTCGATGTTAACGTCTTGAAGACTAGAATTCGGAGAGTCCGTGGATATAATCCGAATCGGTTGAGTGTGAACCTGACCATAATGATCAAAATCAGCGAGCGGTGATAACTGTTCTTCCTTGATAAACGTCCTACAATTAACATAAGGAGCACTTTGTTGATGTTGCTGTTGTTTTTGTTGTTGGTGATGACGGTGTTGTTGTTGTTGCTGTTGCTGTTGCTGCTGTTGCTGTTGCTGCTGTTGTTGTTGTTGTTCGAGTTGAATTTCAGTAATTTCATATCGTTTTTCATTTCTTCGCTTTTTATTACTACGCCCTGTTCCTCCAACGTTTTCTTCATCAACGTATATCCTCTTTGAAGAATATTTTTTCCTAGACTCTTCATCCTCGGACTCGCTCTTGCCATTTCCTACATTTTCGAGCCTAGTCTCGCTGCTGTTATTCTTTAGAACTTTCGTTTCGGATGCATTACGTTCGGGTAAGACCTTAGTCTTGGTGCTTTCGTTATTACGATTTTCCTGTCGCATAACTTCCACTTGTCCCATCATTTCCTTCATACTCAAAGGTTTTCCTGAACTCAATGAGCCAATATTATTACGATCCTGATTTTTTTTTCTTCCAACGTTTCGTTGTTGTCCATCCGATATGATTTCTTTCTTAATGATAGAATCAGCAACCATTTTGTTATCGATCGCCTGAAGTTCTTGTTTTACTTCAATTCGTGGTTCTTGTTTTAACGTAAGATTACCTTTATTACCTTGTATCGTGAAATTGTGATCGATCTTCTTAATACCGAATTTGCTTGCTTGCGCAGCTGCCGGTGGTAATCTTTGAGAAAAAACGGCCGCTTTGGCGAATTGAGCGTTAGGCATTGGTGATGGAGAAGAACGATCTTCTGAAACAGCAGGTGAAGGTAAATCGCTGATGAGGTGGGTGATCGCATCCTCTAACTGCGAAGGATCTTCCAGGCTAGCTTTGGAGTTCGATTTTTGTGACTCCGATCCCTGTCCGATACAAAAATAGAGAGATATCTTCAAAATCATATCATCGAGTTCGATCGGTTTACGTATATAAGGGAACGAATGAAATTGTGTCTTTTATATTTAATATATATATTATTATTATTATTATTATTATTATTATTATTATTATTATTATTATTATTATTATTATTATTATTATGTTTTTTGTTTCATAAATTTAAACAGTTTCGCGTACCAGATCGAACGAAAGGTCGTCGTTATTTTGAATCATAACCGCCTTCGTAGCACCAGACACCGTAGCTGAAAATCTTTCCTTCATTTCTCTTACGAATTCAATACCTTCTTCTTCTCTGAAAAAAAGAAAGAAAAAGAAAGGATAGAAAAAGTCGTAGGATTTTATGTCGGCTTCTTAAAAGGATAAAACTACTCACGAGACTAGGGTATTGATGCAGATAAACGATTCAACGGTTTGAGTATTTTTGTCGTATTCCAAATATCCATGGGTCCTTAGGTATATGAACTCACCAGTTTTCGAAAGAAGCCTATAGCAGGATGAACCGCAAGGTTCTGCACGATCGTACACTATTATTAAAAGTTTCATTAATTTCTTATTTATCGAACCAATCCCGATTATAACATACAAACTCAAAGAATATTTTTATCGTACTTTGGCGAAGTCCAATGATGGTCCATCTAACGTCGTCCTTGTGCATAAAACTGAAAGCGCTTAAACCTGAAACCTCCTCGGATAGGTAACCTGCCACAATAGATATCCTATGATCGCAGTAAATAATACGACCGTCCACCAAGTGTCGCGTCACGTATTCTTGTTTATTAGCATCTATTATGGAGATTTCGGTGATAGGACGTTTCTTGGGTATCCATGCCATACCGACGAATATGATGTCGTTGCTTGTCGATGTAGTCTCTAAGAAAAAAAAAAAAAATTATATCGGTATCAATGTTTTTAGAAAACATATTTTATTTATAATCTTTATATTCTAATAGAATATGCGTAAATGAAATCAAGAAAAATCGACGTTAAAAATTTTCGCGACGATGCCTACGCTTTCGCGAGCCAACGATGCCGTGAATCTAAATTTAAATACTCGGCTAGAGTAAATATTTGCGATACACACTCGGAAAGCCTCGGCTCGTTGCGCCTTGTTACGTGCAGCATATCGACGATAAAAACAGAAGACCATTGATCCGTAAAAAGAAAAAAAGAAAAAAAGAAAAAAAAAAGGAAAAGAAGTAGCAAGGGACAAAAAACAAGAGAAAAAAAGTCTACAATCGGTCCAAGAAGTTTAACTACTTTTCAAAGGGATTATTGCAATTTCAGATTGTACCTCGATGTCGTGCACGATTGTCAACATTTTTACAAGCATCCGCGAGCCTAAGAACCCCCGACACATGTAGACACTCATACTGCGTATGTTCTCGTCTCGAAACTGTCCGTTGTGACATTCGCAATTTGAAATTCCGTCTCTGTTCGCGAAAAGACCTCCTCTCGGTGTTTCTTTGCGACGTCGACGTCGTCGGGGTTGACTCCTCGGAGGAATTGGAACTGTTATCGACGTCCGTGGTCGAACTACCGACCATCGGTTGCATTTCGTCGGGCGTTAAATTTTTCGTTAACTCCTTGTGATCCTCAGGATAAACGAAGTGATACAAAGATTGTCCCGTTAATTCTTTCTGCAACGAAAAATCATTGAATCTGATAAGTCCAATGAGAAATAAAATTCTATCAGGTATCATCGTAAAAGAAACTTTTCTTACGAAAGAGAGAGGGGGAGGGGGAGAGAGAGAGAGAGAGAGAGAGAGAGAGAGAGAGAGAGAGAGAGAGAATAAAAGATAGAAAGAACCATGCTTCTTCTCTCCCTCTCTTTCTCTTTCTTTTTCGATCTATTATACGCAGGAAATCTTGTCGTCATCGTCATCGTCACCGTCATCGTCATCGTCATCATCGTCGTCGTCGTCGTCGTCGTCGTCGTCGTCGATGGCGTCGGCTGTCCCTCATTTTCCCAGCGGGAAAAATTTTCTTTTGCCGAGAACAATGACACCCTGATTGCGAATTCTGTCTTAAAAAAAAAAAACGAAGGAAAGAAAAAGAAAAAGAAAAAAAAAGAAAAAGAAAAAGAAAGAAAAAGATAAAAAGAGAGAAATAGAGAAACAAAATAGGAAAGATAAGGGACGAAAAAGAGAAAGAGAAAATAAAAAAAAAATACAGGAGAAAAATGAACGTATAGGACAAATATTTCCCTTCCCTCCTCCTGCTCCTCCCTCCCTCCCACCCCCCCCTCTCTCTCTCTCTCTCTCTCTCTCTCGTATTTCCTATTTCTACGTTCGAGATATCTATTTCAATGTCCTCTTACAACGAGAAGTCGTTTCATTAGATTCCCGAGGGTAGCAAATTATCGTTATCCTCGATGTAGTTGAACATTAAAATCGACGCATTATACAATAAAATACACGATCATAAATAAATCTTATTCGTTTTCTCTTTCGTTTATGCATTATTTTCAATATTATCGAAATATCTTTGATTTCAATCGGACTATCCAATCAATAGATTATTATTCGAGATATTTTAAAACTCTTGACACGTTTTAGCGAAACATTTTACAAAAGAATGGACAAAATATCTTTATGTTTCGTGTAATTTCGTGATTACCTCGAAAATGTGACCTTTGAAAATTATCTTCGTTTTATTACGACCGAGGAAAAAGATACAAATTTTCCATTTACCTGATTGACGTCATCTACTATCGTGATAAATGTCGTCCCATTTGTACGCATATTACGTACGTATCGGATAGAAGCACGAAGAATAAAAAATATCTACGAAACCGACGTAACAACTTTTTTCTGATGTTCGCTTTTATTTTATTTTCATTTTTTTTTTTTTTTTTTTTTTTTTTTTCATTTTTTTCATCTTTTCTTTTTTATTTTTATTTTTGTTTCTTTTGTTTCTTTCTTTTTTTTTTTGTTTCTCTTTTTTCTTTTTTTCGATAAAACGCTTGCAAAGATCTTTTTTGCAGAATCGTATCTATTACGGGGAAAAAAGAAATAAAAAAGAAAGAAAAAAGAAAATAAAAAACATAATCGAGATAGATGCGAGTCTAGACCATAGTCGACATGGAAACGTTTACACGCTGCACCCGTTCTCATTTCATCGATCTTTTTTAACCCTTCGGTACAAAGCAGCCTTCCTCGTATTTGACTTGGACCGTGCACCTACGAAATACATCATGTACCGAAATCAAATCAACGAATCGATTTCGATTATTATCGATCATTGGATCTTCTACGATATCAGGTTTACGTAAACATGGATCAATTATCTATATACCTGAGCGTGACCAAGTTGACGTTCCACCTGCCGGCTAACGTAAACGATCTTTCCTGCCGTAGTTACGACAATGAAGAAACCAACATTGCCGATTAAGTTCTGTCGAAGCAATAAAAATGATTTCTTTGATTATCTATTATGTCGTTTTAATTTGAAATAAATGGAAGGAAAGAAGAAGAAGAAGAAGAAGAAGAAAAAAAAAAAAGAAAGAAAAAAAAAAGAAAAGAAAGAAAAAGACAGCAAAAATACGTAGAAGAGCAAGGCCAGTTATAATGAATTACCAGTTGACTTCTTCGAAAGGATAACAGCTTGTATCTTTTATAGATTAAATGGGACAAGGGGCCAAATGTTACGATTGTGCGAAAGATTCGTTTCAAGGTAATGTTTTTTCCAAGATATCAACTGTTCCAAAATTTTGATCAAATGGAAGAAGCCAACTTTGTATCATTTTACATCGTGTCCTCTCATAGTGTACTCACATCTACAAAGAATTGTTCCACGTCCAAATTGTTGAATTTCTTTGGCAGGAAATTGGCCGATCCACGACCAAGAGCTACGACACAAACATTTTATCTAACACATTTTGTTTTAAACAAAAATCTTCGTAATAATATTGACAATATGTGATAGGAAAGAAACTCACTGTATTGCGTTCTTAAATAGGCAGCAGTTAATCTCAGGATAGATATCTTGTCCATCCTTCTCGAACTTCCGGCGACGGTAGGAACGAGAGCCGCCATCGTCGAGATATTGGTGTTAAGATTATCTCGGCGTTGTTTCTCCGCCATATTTCGTGAAGCACGCGGATTACTGCAACAAATATTTAACGATATATAACCGACATGCATATATATTAACCTTAAGGATTTGTCTTTTTTTTATGTTTTGTATGATTGCGTTTAAAACGTGATATTATATATGATTTCATGTTAATCCAATAACACGTTAATAAAATATTATCTCCCGATTGATCTCGACACAGTCGAATTTTCACACAGACGCGAATCAAAGATATTTCTTTCTCATCGGTACGGTGAGTCAAGCAGACTCATCGGGTTCCCCTCACGACGCGACAATAACAACGACGACGACGCGTCCTATCGAGTAGTCGCGATGAAAATGATCCCTACTGACGGTGCCCGGTGGTATCTAGAAATAGACACTATCGTATGTGCTTATATTCTTATATAAGTATGGGTACGACGATGTCTGATAACTAGACAAAGCAGACGAGTAAACTTCTCTCTCTCCTCACGCTCCGTAACGAGCAGCCGTCTGTGGACGGACCGTATAATACGAGTTTACTCCTTTTTGAAATAATATATATATGTATATGTATATGTATATGTATATGTATATATATATATATATATATATATATATATATATATATATAATTTTCTTTGAAATAATTCATCTCGCCTGGGAGATGACAAAGATATATTGGATACGTACAACGTATAGATACGTATAACGCATAAAAAATAATCTCAAAAATGTATGTTTATACTAAACGTATGCATATTTATTCGCAGTATATACATCTGTATAAATATATTTCTTAACATTGTTTATCAGCATTTTCATGTAAAATATGCGTTAATGCCATCGCAATATAATTTTACATTTGAATAAAATTTCAAGGGAAACAGATCTTAGAGTTCGTAAATACATGCTAAGTCGGCTTGCAATAAACAACTGACACTTTGGCCTTCCGTTCGATATCTCCGGGCATCTGGCTGATTGCCTCGAAATACGATTGCCGTCTTTTAGACGATGGATATTCGTAAACAAGACTAAAGTACTAAATAGAATAACTAGAATATTTACGTGTAAAAATGTGCATACATGTACGCGTACATGGTAAATATCTATGTATATAATGTACTATATATAAGATTAATGGAAATGACGATGCGACATTCACGACGTATCTAAATTTCATACGGCATAAATCGCTTGATTTCCGAGCAACTTTGTGCGAGCAAAATATTTTAACAGCTGCAAACACGTTATTTCGCGCTGCAACACTCCCGTTTCTCCTCGGAGCGAGGAAACCAGAAAAATGAAGAAAAATCCCTGTTTCTCAAAATATGATATTTTATATCGCGACAAATAAATAAGCTATATACATATATCATATATATATATATATATATATATATATATATATATATGAGTGTGTGCGCGTGCGTGCGTGCATGCATGCACATGGGTGTGTACGTATATATAAGATATATCTTCATTTATTTGTCAAGACTGAAAGATCGACTGTTCCCGACTATCTTAATAATTATCTTATACCCCTATGAACGGTGTATCTGGTTCATTGCCATATCGTCAACAATGGACTCCCAAAAACGTGGATTAAGTGGGAGAAAGAAATAAAGAGAAAAAAAAAATAAAAAAAGAAAAGACAGAAGGAAAGAAAGAAAGAAAAATTGGTGTCTCGAGGTTATCCAAGCAGGTTACACAATGATGAAACTATTCTATCCAATTATCCAGCAAGCGGCCTTGGACGCTTTATCGCTAACGATAACGAGGGCTAAGAGGATTCCTCGTTTGAATGTTTTGATAGAGTTTGGAGCTCAAGTCCACGGGGGAGCGGTTAAGACTATGGCCTCGAAAAATTCAACAAAATAGGATAAACGGCTGATAATTAATTGATATTCAACGTTACACAAAATCGGTAAGAAAGGCATCGTTCAATATCAAAGCGTATCAATCAATCGTTGTTGCTAAACAATATCTTCATCCGTTAATATGTGTTCGAGCGTGATCGCGAATGCAACGATCTGTAAACGAACGAAGAGGAATATTTTTAATATCTCGCGCGATAACGTCAATCGCGGTTCTTGTCTTTGTATTAATTGAAAAAAAAGACAAAGAAAAGAAAAAAGAAAGAAAAAAAGAAAATGTGTAGCGAAGCGTAGAAACACTCTTTTTTATATCCTTCGTCGATCTATTTAAAATCTGAAAAAAATGATAAAAAAAAAAAACAAAAAAAAAACAAAAAACAAAAAGAAAAAGAAAAAAGCAAAGCAAAAAGAGAAAGAGAAAAACGTATATAGAATGCGTTTGTATCGATCGCTTAGATCTAATGGCATCCATTAAGAGCGTTAGATTAATTATATACCATCGATCAAGTATTATGATATCGATATTATTTATAGCGTGAGCTTGCAAAACGTATAATCAGCCTCGAGCGTTTCTTCCAATTCCTAGGTCCATCTTTATGACAGTGGGGGTGGTCAGGCAAATCGTCAAGTGGGTCGAGTTTACTAGACAATTGTGCGCGTTCAATTATCGATATAATTAAAAACACTTTTCAAGGGATACGATTTCAACGATGCGATCATTTCGCATAGCTCTCCTGCAAGACGCACAAATATCGTTAAATAATTTGTACTCTATTTCTCTTTCTCCATCTCTCTCCCTCATTATCTCTTTCCCTCTTACGCTTATTCACTTTTCTGCATTATTTTGAATTACTTAACTAATCAAATTGAATTTCGTTATTTTCCAAGTTGTCTCGCAATCATCGAATCAAATTCTAATTTTGCATCAAATAAAAATTTATTTTTGGCCAAAGCGCGCATTCTGTACGTACATACGTGCGTACATATCCAAATATACGTGTATGCGTAGTTGTGTTCGAGGAAAGAACGATAAGATATTATTTTTTTATGACAATATTTTCGTGTTTTCTTGATAGACGATTGTGAACTCGACTGAAATCAATCAGATGAGATTACGAGCATATAAAAGATACCGATCATTTTTTAATCATACTTATTGATAAGCTACGAAACTTTAACAATATTCGGGAAATCGTATTGGGCATTATTCGTTCAGAGTCGTTTATCTATTTAACGAACATCATTTAACAATGTATATATCTAAAGAACGTCATTATATATGCAACGTACATAAATAATAATAGCAGCAACGGCTACAAAGCGTGTAAGTATCGCTTATATATATATATATATATATATATATATATATGTGTGTATAAAATAAATAAAAAAATATGCTTAAAGTTTATATATAAAGTTTATAACAGCAGTTTATTTATTTTATATGACGACATTAATGACAACCTATGAGTTGCTTCTTTATGAACCGATTAGCTTGCCGATCGTGATACAACGAACGCGCACATAGATAATTTCAATAAGAAACTTGACTTTACTTCTTACGTCCTTTAAACGTTAGAAATCAAATCTAAATAAGTGTTTGCAAAAAGGAAGAGGAAATAACATTAAATCTATTATATCTAAATTAAGAAAAGTTTCATTATTATAACTCGAGAGGAGACTTGAGACTTAAGATGTATCTAAGTATCTAAGCGCTTGTTCGCTCCCAGTTTCGGCTTACATCATCCGCCATCTTTTTTACTCTCACATATCTGCTGTCCAGGCTTCAAATAAGAAAGACGATTAAACCGGAAAAGAAGTAGGCAAACGAAGGACAGAGAGCGACCAAGCGAGCGAGCAAAAGAGAGAGAGAGAGAGAGAAATGGTTGATAGCTAGTCATGAAATTTCTATTAGAAACATTCCTTACGGTTTCTCTCTTCTGGTGTCTCCTATAAAGGGCCCTCCTTTTTTTTCTTTCTTCTTTCTTTTTTCTTTTTTTTTTTTTTTTTTATACCATTCTCGACTATGTAAAAAAACACAAATCCTTTTCAAGATGTCATTTTTTGTAACAAAGCTTTCGAAAATACGATCGACGATCACTTTTATCCATCACGAGAACAGGAAAAGAACATGATATCAACTTCGATCGATAATCAATTATTTAACACGTTGCCGCACACTTTTAATTTGACGATCGTGCTCAGAAACATTCTTTTTTTTTTTCAATTGTTCATGACCGACATATGAAATTGACCGTGAGTCGTTTTATGTGCAAGACGGCTATAGCCGTCATTTGCGGCAACGTGTTAATATCGATATTGCAATTGCTATCTTCTAACGAACAAAAGCCAAATGATTTATCTTCATTTTTTCTTTGTTCGTAGATATTTTTTATAGTACATATAGCTTAAATAACTGAAAAGACATACGACTTTTCTATTTCGATAAAGGATTCTTGCTATATGCCGACTCTGTGTTTTTCGATACGTCGGATGACGCATGCATCCTTCGGCGCATAGAAAGAGAAGAAGGGAGGGGGAGGGAGAGAGAGTGAATCAAAGAGAAAGAGAAAGACGCTTGCTGCGTCGAATGCGTCGGGTAGGTCGCGGTAAATCTCTTTGTCTTCCTCTTCCGGTTCCTTTTTCAATATATAAACTTTAAGTATACTTTTTTATACTTATATATATATATATATATATATATTTCTTATTTCTTCATTCATTGGCCCGATGTCAGGTTTCGTTAAATCTGATTTGAATTTCAGTTCGATTCATAATTTTTAATTTGTAATTGGATTAAAAATTTGATCCTGCCGGAAATATATCTCGATAAAATATAGCTATCTGGAAATTAGTCTGAACGGAGGTGACTGCGTCATCGTTTTTTACAAGTGATACACTGCCATTTATAGTGATGATGTTTCGAGCAGACCCATTGAACAAGAGAAAAAACTTTATTTCTCGCAAGATCACAAACCTATCTTAATAATAATAATTCATTGCTTTTCATTCTAAAAATGAATCAAACGCAAATAAAAACGTCTCGAGACGCAAAAGCAAACGACCCTTATCCTCCTTTCCCCCCCCCCCCCCCGTTTCTCTCGATCCTCACCTTTTGCACTTGTATATCCCTCCGAAGCTTTCGAAGGAGAGTTATATTTCAGTAGCATATCGCTGGGTTTGCGAACGAAAAATACAAAAACGACGGGGCAAAAAAGAGAAAAAAGAGTCGTCTGGATAGCGTATGTACGTACATAAGTACCAGATCGATATATCAGTCTAGCTTTAGGTGTAACGGGCCGTACAAGTGTGTAGGTAGCCGTGTGTGATAGGTAGGTAGGTAGGTAGGTAGGTAGGTAGGTAGGTAGGTAGGTAGGTAGGTAGGTAGGTAGGCAGGTAGGTAGGTAGGTATGCATGTATGTACGTACGTACGTACCCATTCTTTTTCGTCCTGACTACGCGTTCAAGGTCATGGTTACGAATTAGCTCGAGTAGAGTCATACGTTTGTACGAACCGTCGTACAATTTTCTTTGTTTTTTATTTATGATTATATCGGAAAAAAGATTTTGATAAACAAATCGTTTGCAATATAACGAAAGAAGAATAAACAAATAATCTACGACAAAGTTTTACGATGTGTTTTTTCGTCTTTTCCAAATCGTTGAAAATAAAAAGACAAAACAGCATCGATAAGTACACTTTCATTATTAGTCATTTCTAAACGTAATGATCGCGAAACTATTGATAAAATAAGTAGATTGCTAAAAAGGGAGTGATATTATTATCTGGCAAGTTCAAGGCTTGAGAAAAATGTTGAGAACCATCAAGTTTGAAAACCACTGCGAAATTTGGGCGTCGACGTGGGGAAAAGCAGGCTGTCTGTGAGGAAGGGTGGGGAGGGTGAGACACGCCAGGCAAGCAGGGCGGCGGTGGCGTTGCTCGTGGTGGTAGTAGTGTAGCAGTAGCAATAGTACCAGTAATAGTAGTAGTAGTTTAGTCGTCGTCGCAATAGTAATAGTAGTGGTACTTGTGTCGTAGTAGTAGTCGTCTTCGTCGCGTTTCAATCCGCGTCCTGCCTCACTGCGAGCCTGCGTGAGCCTTTCGAATTCGCCAGAGCCCGGTCAACAGCCCCGAATCTCTCCTCTTTTTCTCTCTCTCTCTCTCTCTCTCTCTCCTTCCCCTCGTTCGTTTCTCCCTGTCTCTCGTAAATCAACGTATCTCCCCCACTAAAGCAGTCGGCGTGTACCACCTCTTTTTACTCCGATCGACCAGACTATGTGTTCTCTCTCTCTCTCTCTCTCTCTCTCTCTCCTCTCAGTTTCTCGCTTTCTCGATTTTACGGATCACACCTACTCCTTCTCTTGCTCTTTCGTTCGATTCGTTCGTGTTCAAATTTAAAAAAAGAAAATACAGAAAATAACGATTTTGTCGAGCTGCTCCATTTTATATGGGTCCATGAACGTGTAAAGGTTTGCAGATAAAATTCAAATGGGCGACTAAGAAAATTGTCCGAGGAGGATGCTCAATCGTAAATCCGCGCATATTCCGATAAAATCGATTTCAACGTTTATTTCTACAATTCCATAGATGGATGGAATATGAAAAGAGAAGAGGGTTTAGGAAGATGGGTGGGTGGATGGAGGCAGACGATACGCCACGACCACGCCTATGCGCATCTCTCGACGGCCAGACGCCCTTTCTCCCTTTAAAGCGTCTCGCACCCTCGCAACAGCCTTCTCGATGTTCGACCATGACCACCCTTCGGCAGACTGCGTGAGGGTGGTAGAGGAAGGTGACCTTCGTACGCCATACCTTCAACGAGACTACAAGAGAGGAAGAGAGGGAGGGAGGGAGGGAGAGAGGGGGTGGGGGAGAGAGAGAGAGAGAGAGAGAGAGAGAGAGAGAAAGACAGTATACGTGTGCGTGTGAGAGAGAATTCTGCGTCGTTCGGCGTCGTTCGGCGTCGTTCGGCGTCGTTCGGAAAATGGCGTTTTTATATTTCTTCGATATTTCATTCGATTCATTCTTTAAAGCGTCTTCTTCTCTGTATCGAAGAAGACGACGACGAGTTCTCTTACTATTTCCGACTAGCCGCACACGAAGCAGCAGAGGTGGCAAGTAGATAAGGATCGCAAGCCAGACCAGACGCGATTCAGCATTGAGTAGTTACAGCCGCCATATTTCTCGCAATACGCATTTAAGTGTTTTTTACTCTGCCGATGCAAGATTCTCGTCATTCGTTATCCGTTGATAATGATCACGCAACGCCATGAAAATAAAGAACGACGAGTGGGAGAAAGCTGCGCTAAAGAAAATGTTTTGACGATGAAAAAGAAAAAAGGACTTTGGTATTAAAGAAAAACTTGCGCGTTACATAAAAACGACGAGATTTTTATAAAATAAAACCATCGTCGCCCACTAGCAAATGCCTTCTTTCATCTTTGCTCGCTTTGATATAACATTTTTATCTCTGAAATTTTAGCTCTTGAAAGATATTCTAATTTCGCACAAAATAAACACGGATTATTTTCTTTTTTTCACGATGCAAAGGACAACAACATTCGACAAACGTTCTCAACAATTTTATACATCGATCATTTTCTGTTCTCGATTTCGTTCTTCGTTGTCGTCGTCCTTTTTTAAATCACAAATGAGCCAATGAATACTAAATTTGCAACGATTATTATGACGACGACAAAGGTAGCAATTTTTTTTCTTCAAAAATTGTTTGAATGATTTGAAAATGAACAATCGGCTCTACGCAAAAATAAAGCTATTAAACATTTTTCACGATTTGGACAATTATGGAGTAAGTAATAGAAACCTCGCTTATTTTATATTTAATTTTACACCTTCGTCGTTCGATCTTCTTTCCTATACTTCAAAAAAAAAAAAAAAAAAAAAAAAAAAAAAAAAAAAAAAAAAAATCGTACAATATCGTTAATTATTTTTATTACATAAATTGGATCTCCCTATTTGCCACTATATTTTAATCTAAAGTTGCAGCGTCGTCTCGTCGGTCAGTAACCCACGAAACATGTTCGTCATTTTAATTCGTCCGTGCCGCGTGTGACATTGCGTTAAAAGAAAAAAGAAGAAGGAAGAGAAGAAGAAAAAAACGTATGCGCACGTAATAAACAACACGGAGACAAGAGAGTACTGATCGATCCCCGACGATGCAAGATTTCGATCTTAATGAATTTTTATTAGCCGAACTTAAAAGAGCTCAGCCCCAAGTTGCAAATTGACGCATTCCGAAGTCTATTATGTCACGTGGCGTACAAAGAAAATGAATTACGTCATAAAATGTTTTGTTATTAAAACGCATAACCATAAGAGTCGAGGCGAGCAGTAGCGCAGAAAATTCTTCGACTAAAATTCGACTGATAAGAAATAATCTATAGACATCTATAGACGGAAGAAAGGAGATTTTAATATTCCCCGCTCTTTTCCCCATTCCCTTATTATTCCTTGTAACATCGACTACGTCTCACGTGACGTGCACGTTACGTGAATCGCATTACAGACTGAAAAGTAGCTGGTGTTACAGCACGAATCAAACCGTAGGACGGATACGCACTTCCGATCGAATCATCTTCCTGCTGTTTTTCTTTGCCGAATTCCCATTGGATAAGTGAAACGCACGATGGTCATCGCAAATTGCAAACAAATCTATATGACCATTTTACGTATTACAAACTATGAGATATCACACGATGACATCTGACTAATTTATTGGTATTTTTTTTTCTTTTTTCTTTTTTATCGAAATCAAACATTAAATTTGATTATTAATGCGTTTTGAATCTTCTCCTCGAAAGTTCTCCGAAACGATCTTTCATTATAGTCTGTGATCCATCATTATGATCTCGATCCATCAAATGTGCACGTATACATACTTTATTTATTACTTTATGAATATATTTTTTCTACTGCAATCGATACAGATATAGCAATTGAATCCCTATACCCATTGACAGATTTTTCATTACACATTGAGTAATTGTAGAGTATTTTGAAAATAAAAGAGAACTTTACATATTTTTCTCTCTTTTTCCGAGAAAGTAATTTTCTTCTTTTTTTTACCTTCGCGACGTAGACAGGTACCTTGGTTTACAATTTTATGTGCGAAGGTCACAAGTGCGCCATAGTATGGACAGCTGTTTGCCTGAGGCCAAGAAACTATTAACGAGTTTGCCGTTCGATACGTTATTTAATCAATTGCACTCGTTTATACGCGATTGCCCGTAAGAGTCGTTTCGACGAGCCGATCGATCGACGTTGCCTCTCTAAGAAAAATCATTTTGTCTTTCAAAGAACGGAAATTCTCCACTTCGAAATGTCCGATTCTTTTTTAATAAATCTTAATAAATTATTTACAAAATCAAATGTACTTGTCTATCCGTCTGTTGGTTTATCAAGTGTTGGTTTATCAAGTTGAAAGATTCTTTAATTTTCGCGATCTATCGCAATATGAAAGAAAAAAAGAAAAGAACAAAGAGAAAAAAACATAAAATAAATCCTATCCCTTGTTATTTAATTAGTTAAGCTAACAAAAGTAATCGAGTGCATCGAATGATCGTCGAAAGTTTTAATCATAAATAAAAGTGAAGGCTCGGCGGCAGGTTCGGTCGTCGACCCATGTTGAAAATTGCATGTTTCCTTCGTATTAGACTTTTATCTCTCGATGCTTTAATTACGATTATCTTGTACGTTTAACGAACGTTAACATATAAACGTGCGTACATGTCCATGTTCACATATGCATGTATATGTATGCATACGCACGCTCATTTCGTCCAATCGATTCGTAAAGCTTTCTACAAGAGCCTAAGCACAGAGTAAATCCTCTTTAAGTGCAATTAATAATCGGTCGAGCCTGCTCCTGCTGCTGCTGCTGCTGCTGCTGCTGCTGCTCCATGCACGTGTAAGAAAAAAAATCACTATCTTTAAACGTGGCACGTGACGTTCAAGCCGAAGAAAATTAAAAAAAGGAAAGAAAAAAGAAAAAAAAGACAAAAAAGAAAGGAAGAAAGGAGAAATATAGTTTAATACTTTTTTTTTTCTTTTTTTGAGGGCCGCAAAGGGTTCAATTCGAACGTGAAATCGTTAAAATTCATAATCTACGCTCGACGGCCCGTACAAATTGACAGCTAATGGCCTTCTTCGGTTCGGTGAAGCTAATTAGGAGAGGAAGAGAGAGAGAGAGAGAGAGAGAGAGAGAGAGAGAGAGAGAGAGAGAGAAAGCGAACGTGTGCACTTACTGGAAAAATCGTTGTACAAAGGTACCGATCGCTCGTTTGTCGCATTTATCGATATATGGTAATCGTACGCAAGTAAATTATCGAGTGATATTAATTAACGATATTGCTATAATACGATTAACGTATATTTAGTGTAAATTACATCGACTCGTTATTGCACATTCTGACATCACTTTTGCAATTGCTGTAGACATTAGTATATAAATAATTATTAATATTATTGAAGCAAATTTTCGTGCAAATTTTCAATAGAAAGTTATATAAGATCCTCTATTACTCCTCCTTTCATGATCCAGCTAACGGAAGAAAAACTTTTTTCTTTGGAATAACAAGGAAATGTAGTAGTAAGTATATGTCATAACTCACGTAGCATCGTTATCAAATAATGGGTGATATCACCCGTAAAGTATATCGTAGGAGACTTATATTATGCAAGAACGAAATCCACATGAACGAGAAACTATCTTTGATACAGAAGGTGTGTCTCGCGTATATACTATTTTTTCCCCGAATTTTCCCCGCGTAATTAATAATTAATAATGTTTGATAATAATATTTTACCATTTTTAGGGGGAAAAGAAAAAAGACTTTTTTTTTTTTTTTTTTTTTTTTTTTTTTTTCTATTCTCCCGTTTAATAGGCAGAGCCCTTTCTCCTCGCCTTTTCTCCTGTCCAGTCGATTTAATGTGCATAATGCGTCGCACGCAACATGCACCCAGACGAGTTTTTTCTTTTTTCCATTTTTTTTTCTTTTTCTTGCGAAAGAGGGTAGTTATACCGTAACTCTCACTCTACCTTTCGGTAATCGACATTAGAAGGGACGTTTAACGACTTGCTCTCGTTGTCACGCAGTATGCGGTTTCCACGAAATCGTCCGCCCACCACTTATCGTTAGTTTTCAGCGACTAAAACGAACGCAATGGCGCATCTAATGCAAAACATCTTATATGCCTATTTTAGTTTATTTTGAAAAAGATTTACCAAGTGTATCGTCGAACAGATAAGGTAGTACTCATGTGTATCGTCGAGCGATATGAAAAAATGCAAAGTTTAAACTAAAATTCTGAAACTCGATGAAAAATTATCTAAACTTTATTTTGCGCATGTATATGTATTTTATGAATATAGAAAATGGCAATATGAATTCATTATTTCATGTTAAAACTCTTTAATACGTATTATAAAACGTACCAATGTATGCCTTGCAACGAAACAACAATTTCTTTGTTCACGTATCGCTAACGTAATTTACAAAATAGAACGACACAATATGCGAGATTAGTACCGACATTGACAGATGTTTTCTATGACTGTTTGGGCATGAAGTTTCGAAAGAGAGATATCGCGAGCGAAACGAGTGTTGTGGTAGGGCGAGAAATTGCGGTAGGACATCGTACCTGTTGCACCACCACGTATCTATGTATATGAAATACATATTTAATAATTTTTCGTGAAAATTCATATTGAAAAACAAAAAAGGGAGAGAGAGAGAGAGAGAGAGAGAGAGAGAGAGAGATGAAACTTCTTGGTAATGATTAACTAACCTTACCATCTCTTTTATAGCTTGAGTTACGAGATACGTCATTTCAAATGTGTCACCTTTACATGTACACGTCCTGTATCTCGAGCACGCAACCGCATATGCAGTTTTTTATCGTCTACTCTCCAAGTCTAATCAAAAGTACGAGAAACGATAATTCTCTTGTTAAGCGCGAATGCAAGCTGCGTAGTGGTCCTATCATCGAAATAAATTTTCATTGAATTTCAATCGAATCGAAAAAGAAAAGAAATAATATGATACAATGCAAATTTTGTTCATCTCCCCAAATGTAACCAAGACGACCTTGCAGACAATTTTTTTTCTCCGAGTCGAAGAAAATACTTTTTGAATGCCATCACTATTTATCGGTTTCGTACGATGCATTCTTGCACGGCCCGAGGTCAAATGAAGTTTTAATTCGAGTTGTCGAAAAAGAAGGAAAAAAAAATATCAAAAAAATAGAAATAAAAATAGAAATAAAAATAAAATGAAAAGAAAAAGGAAAAGAAAAAAGAATCGCGAGTGGATGGTCGTCAAACGGAAGAAAGAGACGAGTTCGAGATAATTAATTCTTCTTCGTTCTGTTATCCTTGAAGACGAATCGCACGAGGAAGAAGTTTCTTTCGCATGCTCCTTTTTTTCTGCTTTTTCTTTCACTTTTTTCGCGTCGCTGATGTGGAATCAGCATGTACCTACATTATACAGGCTGATTAGATTGGAACGTAGATATCTATGAGTTTGCTTATAAGTTTGTGCGCTACTACGCAAACCACTTATCAATATTCCGATCAAAGATATTATTGCAATTAACAAATGAATCTGACTTTTTTCTTTTTTTTTTTTTTCTTTTTTTCTTTTTTTTTTTTTTTTCTTCTTTTTCTTCTTTTTCTTTTAATGACTACACGATCAACTCTGTTCCACTCGTCACTTAATAACATAATAATGTGTTGTTTACATTAGAATATTGAAACTTAACTCGACAAGATAGACAGTAGCTCTACTAGCATTTCTATCTCGCCTTACATTTTCGATCACTATTTTGCTCTATTCTGCGAACACATATTTGAAATGCAATATGAAATTTGAATTCGTAATAGGCCGTTTGATATTTGCTTAATCAATGATAACTACTAATCTAATATAACTAGATAACTACTAAACTAAGCAAATATGCAAATATAAATAACATTATGAACAATACCACGGGCAAGCAATTTGCAGAATTGAAAGAGTTTCCGACTGAAGCTCGGTACGATTCAATTCACCCGTAATACAATTTGTCTTGAAATAAGTGGAATATAGAGGGGGTGGGGAGGAGGGTAAGCAAGTCAATTCGGAGTCATCTTTTCTGCGACTCCATTCCACCACCATCCCCTTCCCTTCTCTCGTAAGCTAAAAATAAAAATAAAACAGATGAATTTGACTCGAGCTTACGAAATTCGTGGTAGGAATAACGATGATGAACTTTGATGACGAACGAGACGAAGCTTCGAGCTTTCCTCGATGAAACCCCAAAGGAAAAAACAAAGAGTTTGGTTGCTTTTAGCGTCGTCGGGACGATCTTACGAATGGCCTTAGCTGAATCCCCTCTTTTTCGTGGGTACGCATAAAAGGTGCTTCTTCGTCTCCTCTAAAGATGCGACCTATGTACTCTTATGTGTTTGTTTCGTTAAAGACTGGACCAGCGCGAATAAATTTCCACAAGGTTGAAAAAGGTTGTTGAACGATTCAAATGACACGGAGCTTTGTCTATAAGATGTTTTCTTCTCCCGTGAGAAATATTCATGTATAAAAATATTCTCTAACCCGTGACCTTCGTTATTCATTTTCTTTTTTCCTTCTTTCTTTCTTTTTTGGTTTCTTTCTTTTTTTTTCTTTTCTTTTCCTTTTCTTTTCTCTTCTTTGAATATTTATCATCGGAATAGCGATTTCGAATAATATAATGTTTTTCATTTATAAGGCAGGTGAAAAAGAAACCAGTTGTCAAATTGTCTAGTAAGTAAATCATATCTCTTGAGAGACTACGTTATAAGGCAAACTTGATGGTCCTGAGAATACGAATCGTAAGAAAGTGAACAAGGTCGTCAAGTATTCGTGGACCGGGTGTGACATTTTCGTCATCAAGGATGATCGTCGGAAAAAAACGAACATAAAAAGAAGAAAATAACAATAATAATAATAATAATAATAATAATAATAATAATAATAATAATAATAATAATAATAATAATAATAATAATAATAATAATAATAATAATAAAAGAAGTTTTTCTTTCATCTTTTCGTTCGCAATCTTTACTTTCTTCATTACGTTTAATTATTTCTAATAGACACGATGAACACTTTTCTTTACTAGCTGTTTAAGATTAGAAGATTCGTTGCATTAGGTAATACGTGGATATATCATAATCTTTCGTCTAAAGTAAAGGTAAACACTTTCTCACGAATTTTCGACATGCATATGTACGTATGTATATAAAAGTTCTCTTGAGAAAATATTTCTCATTAAAACCTTTTTCGACAGAAACGATTACTTCGCTCCTTATAAATTTCAGCGATCGCGATTGGCTTGATTAAAATCCAATTAGCCATGCAAATATATTCTCGACTTATCCCGAGAAAGTCGACGATTGTCGATGACGAAATTTGACAAATTCGCACAAGTTCCTTCTTACCGAAATCTTTACATGTAATATATAATAATTATGTGCACTTGACGTTAGAGAATATTTCATTCGTCTAAATAGTTATATTCTAAATATAATTATCTTTTTCCTCGAATTATAAGAAATTAAATGCTTCTTCTTTTTCTCCTCCTCCCCCATCTTCATTATATATACACGATCAAACAGATATTTTGTCATCTTGGTGGAAGATCTATACGGAAAAAGAGTATACGAATTACAAAAAGTGCTTGCTAAACCGAAAACACAGCCTCACAGTCATTCCGAGCGTGCATGAAATACAAGGTTAAATGAAAAAGAGAGAGAGAGAGAGAGAGAGAGAGAGAGAGAATATAATTTTTACATTTTTCGACGTAGCTTATTTTTCAGCTTGGATCGATGAACAAATCATCCTCACTTGCAGTAGATAGTAAAAGTGTTATTCTAAGTTCCTAAAAGCTTTTTTACAAAAAAATACAAAAACAAAAAGGCATTAAATTTTGATAACAAAGTAAAAAAAGAAACAAACAACGTATCTATTACATATTTTCCATTCTATATTATCATTTCTTCAAAATGGAAACGATAACTGTTAAGCTATCGTTTTAAAGGAACGCGACGAATCGAAAAATAATGCATTATAGTTTACATATGAGATAAACCTTTAGGAAGAACAACGTGCGGTCGACCAAACAAAAAAAAAAGGTAAAAAAGTAATACGTTATGTATGTATAAAATACATCGTAAATATGTTATGACCGGAAAAAACCGACGTGAAAAACAACGTTGTCTGACCTTGACAACGGTAGATCCATGCCACTCGATCCCCTCAGATGATGTTGAAGCTGATGATGGTCTTGCTGATGCTGCGGCGTATCGTCGACACCGACGATACCGAGATGAACGTTCTGTTGCTGTGGATGTTGAAAGGCAAATCCTCTCAAGTAAGTCCGTGGTTGCTGCTGCTGTTGCTGAAGCTGTTGTTTTTGTTGTTGTGGTTGTTGTTGTTGTGGTTGTTGTGGTTGTTGTTGTTGTTGTTGTTGTTGTTGTAGTTGTTGTTGGGACCACATTTTTTTCTTTCTTTTTTCTCTTTTTGGAGCTTACTACACGTCGTTAGAAAGTCGTCGTTGCAAACAACTACAGAAGAAAAACCTATTCTCATTCTTTGTCATGTTCGTTCTTGACTGCGAGCACTTGTACGATCGATCTCTCTTCAATGATTTTCATGTGACATTGAACGGAAAATGAAAGGATTAATAAAGAAAGGAAAATATTCCATTGCGGAATAAAGTTGCCGTTTTCCTTTCCTTTTGTTTCGTTTCCGTCGTAATCAAAATATTCTTCGTTGACTAAATCCAAAGTTCCCAAGTTGTCCTTATGTTAATAACTACGTCATCATCAAGAAGCTTTAATAAACAATGCAATAGCGTCGTTGCAGCGACGAAAATGACGATGGTCATTGTCACATCTTCGTAAATCGGAACAAAGTCTATGCAACTCCTCTTCCTTTCTCTCTCTCTCTCTCTCTCTCTCTCTCTCTCTCTCTCTCTCTCTCTCTGTCTTTTTCTTTATTTTCCTCTTATTTGGTCCAGCTGATTCAATCCGATCTCTATCTGGAGTCACAGATCGCGCTATTCCCGCGAAAGAACTCCGATCGTTCACTCCGTGAGATTGTCGACCTTGAAACCGTGTACCAGATCCCAAAAGAGGAAAAGGAGAGGTGAGGACAATGGCACAAGATGCGTAGTAATTGCGTATTATTTATCTAAAAGAAGCATACACGATACTCCGTAGATAGTCGCGCACATAGAGGAGTACGCATCAACTTCTGTTTACACCAACGACGTTGACGACCGCGAAAATAACGAAGACGACAAAGACAACGATGAAGACAACGAGGAGCAGAAACGTTTTAAAAATTCATTTTCCATGCTCCGAGTTCACAAAGAGGCCAAAGTCCGTTCTATCAGCGACCTTGACACAGTGTTCTCGAACCATCAGATGAAAAATGGGAAGGCGAGAAGCTCCTCGATATGATTAGATATAAAAAAGGATATAAAATGAATCTTTCTCACGAGGAGCCGTAGGTCGAGTTCTTTGTCAATGAAGATAGAAAAGAGGAAAAATGTCAAAGGTCAACGCACACACTGTCTCGTCTAAAAGCTAACCGGCTTCGTGAATCGCTCTACAGAGATAGAATGAGGAAAGAACACACCCACACCGCGCTGCAGCTCGAGGCTGACTGCCGCTACGCAGCTACCCCCACTCTTGGCTAGCCGACGGCTCGGTACTTGTTCCCCTCCACTGACACTTAGCTCGGAAGACGAGCTCGCTACTCTCGCTCTCCTTCGAGGGTCGGCGGAAGGGGGGGGGGAGGGGGGAGGAGAACTTACGGGGGCAGAACCGATAGTGCCTAGCCGTACCGGTAGCGCATAGCAAGCGATAACGACGAAATTTTAAGCTTTCCTCACATCGGAAGGAGCTTGCCTCCGTTGTCCGTGCGCGCGATGATTTTGTAACGGACGGACGATATATAAGCGTATACAAATTTCTTGTCATTTGCGATCTTTTTGCTCAACTAAAAAAAAATCATTTCTTCTCATATACTTGTAAGATCAAAGTTTGACGTACAAAGTCTTGTATAAAAATATTATCTATCTTCTCGCGACTTGACATTTCTTCAATAAGACACAGATTACCGATAATGCCTTATTTTGTTTTCCTTTGGAATACCCAAATACGATTTTATTTTATCAATGGTCCGCTCGTTTATGAGACGAATGGCTAACATTAGTAAAAAAAAAAGAAAGAGGAACAAAGACAACTCAAATTTGATGAATTATCTCTATGACGGTATTATACCTTAAAATGAGATTACAACAAGCGCATGCATTGCAATCAATGCAAGTATTTGTCGAACCACGTAAAGTTTCGCAACAGTATCTTCCTTTTACTTGACCAATTAATGATAAACAAGGAGACAAAAAAGAAAGAACAAAGCAAAGATGGAAAAAGAACAATTGAACTTACCCGTAGGTAATCGAACTTTCAGGCACTGTTCCCGTGGAGGATGTGCCAGCATCGTCCTCGTCCACGTCATCCTTCATCTTTCAAAACGTTCCTGTAAAATCAACAAAATTGGTTCAATTCTTTATCTTACAACTACTATTTTCGAGATACCGAGATCCCTCGGACGTAAAAGAAGAAGAAAAAGAATATTCACTATTTAAATAAACAGCAGGGAAGAAGGAAGAAATTTCTGTGCCACGTGCTTCTTTTACGTTCAAGTTTTGGTAGAAGAGTGAATCAAGAGCTCGTTTCTTTCAACCTAGATACTTAAGAAGATTGAAAAATAATTGTCGGCTGATGTTTGTTTATAAATATCTCCCCTTTCTTTCTCTCTCTCTCTCTCTCTCTCTCTCTCTCTCTCTCTCTCTCTCTCTCTCTCTCTCTCTCTCTCTCTCTCTCTCTCTCTCTCTCTCTCTCATTCTCTCCGACTAGGATAATCTGGTCTTTGTTGATAGATACGTATGCGTGTCTATGTATGTGCGTAGGAAAATGTAGTTGATAATTTCGAATACACACGTGCGGGTACACATGTACACAGGTCGAATTATAAATTTGATGATACAAAAATAGAAATCGCTAACAATGTTCTTCGCTCGTTAAAACATGAAATCGTTAAGCGAGCCTTTAACGAAATCGTTGAAATCTAAAATATTTACATTCTTTCCACATTATCATTACAGTTATTTACTATTTTCTTTAGAATTATAAGTCGCGGGGTCAAGAAATAATGTTATCTCGATTATATTGAACGAATGGATTCTGGATAAATGTGAAAAATGAATATTTTTAAACAATGAAAAAAAAAATAGTAAATAATAATGATTTTTATGGCTTTATGAGTAAAAAAAACAAAAACAAAGGAAGTGAAAACGATGATTCGTAGGATGATTAATAGAATTGTTTTGCGCAGCTTGAATTGTTAGGCTCTGGCAACCGAAGATCGCTTTGCAACGATTGCTTGACAAATTGCCATCCGAAACTCCGACGAGATTTACTCACCTACGTTTGCACGCTTTTCTTGCATAGGATCGCAAAAAATATTGTCCATTCACCGATTTTCGTAATAAGAAAACGATCCGTTCCCCTTTTTAGGATTTATTTTATTGAGGATTGGGGAGGAGGAAAGAGAAATTCACTTGACCAAATTCAACAAACGATCTTGGAACAATGGAATTTCTTGGGCCTTTTAAAGGACTATAACCCATTTACACGTAAGTACACAAATACGCACACAAGCATGAACGCCCGAATGAACGAACGTACTGAGAACGTACGAGTAAAAACAAATACATGTATCTATAGAGGTATATCTGGATGTAAAAAGTGGCGTATCAGGTAGATACCATGACGATATGAATAGTAGGGTCATCGACATCGTTTTATTATCAGTCAGATTCCGCTGCATACGCATTATATGTGACAAAGTCGATAAGATGCGCGATGCACTCGTTTCCAAGAGCAAGCTACCCGCTAACAACCAACTGGCCGTTGGTCTATCAAATTGCTACTTGGATTACGACGCGACCCATTTTGATTCCACTACTATTCTTTTTTCTCTCTCAAAGAAAAAATCTCGCGTTTCCAAGCATAAAGAAGACGACGTCATTGCTAGTGATAGAACTCGGTCCAATTCTTCGAAAGAGAAAAAAAGAGAGAGAGGGGGGGGGGAGAAAGAGAGTAAATCAATTTAAGTAATTCGTACGCGTACGTAGGCATTATAAAATTTCCATTCGTACGTATTCATCAAGGGACAACTATCGCTCGACATCTAACGGAACAAAGGATGAGAAAAGTCGAAAGAAGGTACAAAAGGATAGTTCTCGAATTGAAAAGACGTATGAAAAGACTACGTTTCTTTTTCTTCCTTTTCTCCTTCTTCTAACCCTTCTCTCATTCTTTTATTTTTCTTTTTCTTTTTTCTCTTATTTTTTCTAAACCCATGGAAATAATACAGAATTCGGATACGCCGTTGGCATGTTATATCGCGGAACTGCGGAAGAAAGAAATAGAGAAAGGAATGTTCTCTATCCTGATGCAAAGTTGAAAAATATGCAGCTTCGAGGCAGTCCATGTATCGAACGCGACTGGAAGAAACAAAGAACTCCGAAGAGACGACGTACGGTGTATGCTTCTTCGTTTCCCGTTCATCGAGCACAAACTCTGCTCCTACTGTCTCTGTCTCGTAGGGTTGTCTAGACTTTAGAGACACGCTTTGTTTAACGGGTTCCACTAATTCTCTCTCTCTCTCTCTCTCTCTCTCCAATTTTTCCTCCTTCGTTACCTTAACAGGAGTTAAGAATTATAACTCGAGCGTAAAACTTGCGTCGATTTAAACAAAGTCTATACGAATTTTTGCCTAGCTATCAATCTTACGAATGTTTATTTAATCCTTTTAGTACCTTAGAGCCGATATTATATTGCGGGTTTTCTGAAAAATACCTTGAGCAGATATATCGGCTTTTCATTTTTAACATAATTTAAAGACATATAATGACATTTTATTTCACTTACGGAAAATAATTTTTTTCTTTCTTTCAAATAGCAGTACATACATTTCATAAAAAAAAAGAAGAAAAACCAAACGTGGAAATATCTTCATTTTTAAGAAAAATATGTTAACTTTAATAGGTACCTCAAAATCGTATGTTTTTCAAAGTATTGTGATATCCAAGATATTTATAAGATATTATAAGGGTTAAATATTTATACATATGCACACACACACACACACACATTAATATTTTGAACTCGATATTTTTTTTCAATGTTATCGGAATGTTGTCAGCGCGTTTGGCGTATGAAGCAAAAAAAATAATTATTTGTTGCCTATGTTGATAAAACGATACTAAATTAGTAAATAAAAATAATCGGCAGGAAAATATGTCACAACAGCAATTGATAGTTTCTATAACGTCAGAAGTGACACAAATTTTATAGCAAATATGTATTGTCACCGTCAGCGTGATATATGAGTTAAAATAAAGTAATTGGTTTTCATACAACAATTTGTAAAAAACAATTGCCATGCTACATATTTCAGTTCTTTTTTTACGTTGAAATAGGATGATTGACTTTCAATTCTCAACTCATTAAAATACACGACTGCTTGAATTGTAAATAATGTACTTAGTAGCTGAATCAAAATCGTACAAATTTTTCTTGTTAAACTTTGTTGTAATTTCAATCAGTCGCGAGATATTTGCTCGGACAACTATAAATGGATCCCTTCTCTCTCTCTCTCTCTCTCTCTCTCTCTCTCTCTCTCTCTCTCTCTCTGTGTGTGGTGTATGTATGTACACATTTATATATCATGCAATCATAACCCTTGAAAGAAAAAAAGGCAAATCTTTTGTCTATAAATACCTACAATAAATATGATTTTGACATTAAATATGATTTATTCTTTGACATCTCCTATTTTCGTCTGGGTTGCGTCTGACGTTGGAAGAATAAGTCGTAGAAATCGAAAAAAGGTGGTGAGAATCCACGCGCGACCACCCGTCATCCGCGTTAAGCATCGCGTATCGAATGGTCTCTCATCCTTTTACTCTCGCGTGTGCGTACACGCGCCTGAATACTTTTTGTCGATTCACAAAAAAAAAAAAAGAAAAAGAAAGAGAGAAAGAAAGATAGGAAAAACCGTTCAAACGAGAGTCCGGTTTATTTGTCTCAAATGATAACGAAAAGAAATCATTCATTTGCATAAAACCGTACAGTATTAGTATTTACTAAAGAACAGAACATTTTCATTTCATTTCACTTACAATTACTCCGCTTGTTTAACTAGTTAATAATAACTAGAGTAAAAAGAAAAAAAAGAAAGAAAGAAAGAAAGAAAGAAAGAAAGAAAAAAGAGAAAAAAGGGAAAAAGGGAAGAAAGAAGATACAGATATACGTTTATCACGCAAAATAGTATGAAAATACTAAGAAGATTAGTCTGCTGGCGAGGCAGGACGTAGGTACACGTGGCTTTTTCGTGAAACAGTATACCGAAGGCGATATAGCTCTACTTCATCTCGAAGAATGAAAGAATCTCTTTGGCCTCGATGAGCAGCCATTAGATTAATCGTCCTTTATACGAGTTCCGACCGGCAAATCTTAGAGAGTTCGATGCCACCCATGGATCATAAGAGATCCTTTTTTATTCTTTCCTTATCGGAAGGAAATTATCCTTACTTAT